GCCCTGAAAACACAGCCAGCAGGAGAGGCATCCTCCAAACCAGCTTATCTGGGGAAGGCGTGTGTGTGTGTAGGATTAGCCTTCCAAAAAAAAAAGAAAAAAAAAAAGAAAAAAAAAACCAAGCTAAAATTCAATTTAAAAAAATAAGCGAACCCCAAATCCAAGCGAAAACTTACCGAGACCACCAAATCCCCCTCCCCCAAGCCTTTCCTAAAAGGGGCTGGAGGGGGAAACTTGTTGAGCCTTTATCCAAGCCAGAAACAAAACCAAGCAGGACTGAGAATAACGGTCCTGGTCGCTGGTAGCTGCAATAAGACACGAAGGCTCCGAGTGGCTGCTGAGAATCTAAATCATGTACTTTTCTCTTCCAGACAACATAGGGGGACCAGAAGGGAAAAGGGCTCGGACTGCTTACACCCGCTATCAGACCTTGGAGCTGGAAAAGGAATTTCACTTCAATAGATACCTGACCCGCAGAAGAAGGATTGAAATAGCACATGCTCTTTGCCTCTCAGAGAGACAAATAAAGATCTGGTTCCAAAACAGGAGAATGAAATGGAAAAAGGATAATAAGCTGAAAAGTATGAGCATGGCAGCTGCAGGAGGGGCATTCCGTCCCTAAGCGTTTGATCAATTAAAAGTACTGAGCAGTATTAGCTGACCCTGCGTCTCATGTCAGTACTAAGTTGACTTTCTAAAACTTCCTTGTGTTACTTCTGTGAAGAAACCCTGTTCTTGTCGCCCTTATTCATCTTTTAATCATGAGCCTGTTTATTACCATTCTTTCGCGTGTATAAGTAGATCTGCTTTTATCGTACATTTCTTTGTCTTGAATGGCTTTGTCTTGAAAAAATAATAGATGTTTTAACTTATTTATATGAAGCGAGCTGTGTTACTTGAAGTAACTGTTAAAACAAAACAAAACTAAACAAAAAAGAACAAAAAAAAAAGAAGGTAAAAAAAAAAAGGAGAGAGAGAAAGAAACCCTCCCCCGGTTTAGTACAAATGTTATGTGTTGCACTCAACCTGCTTAACTGTGCATGTGTGGTCAAGTGTTAATGTCTGTATAGCTCCAAGCTGTTAAAAATATTTTTATTCAAACTACCTATATAATTCCTGTGTAATTAATGCTGTTGTAGAGGTGAAATGATGAAATCAACTGAACTTGTCCTACGTGTAGTGAATAGTGAATCTGTGACGAAAACTGTGATTCCAAGCAGTATGTCCTTGCTGTGCCTTTGTATATGACTCTTTGCACGAACTCTTAGAAGTGGCTCTTATTAAGCGCAGCTTCTGTGATGTATGTTTTTTGTGAACAAAGTTACAAATATAGTCAAAGTCTGGCTGTTTGAGCAAACTGTGATCAGCTTTTTTTTTTTTTTTTTTGTATTTGTTTTTAAAAAAAACCTGACTGGAAATCAACAAAAAAAAAATAAACTTTCTATTGTAAAGTTTTCGTGATCTGGTTTGTGCAAAGCAAGAAGTTGTGCTTCCTGATTTGCCTCTGAAAAAAAAAAAAAAAAATTAACCCGTGCAGAGTTTGTAATAATATTTTACCTGGCTCCTGCAAATGGCAGACGCTGCGGTTGTCCGCTACCAGTATTTTTAATTGAAAGTTTGACCATGAGTTCCTCCTTCCTAGTTTCTCGCTAGGTGAAAAGCTGCATCGTAGGACCACAATCAACACCCTTTGTGGGTGAATCAACTGTTAGCTGTTTGCTGATGGTTGGAAAAAAAAAAAACCAAAACCAAAACAAAAAACCCAAAACATGTGCTTTGTTAAAACACGCTGCTAACTCCAAGACGTGTTTGCATCGCTCTAGAATTTCTCTGTGGTTTCATTAAGTATATTTACAGGACAGCCACGTCCGAGCCCTCTGCGTCTATTAGTAACCCTCGCTAGCCACATTCCCACTTTTCACCCTTTAAAGATTTTTGGTTTTCTGCGCTACAATTAGTTTGCTATAAACGTAATGTTACTTACCCCGTCAGAGCTTGAATGGTTAACTCTTCTGAGCTTCTAAGAGCAACTAAAGATTTGCACATTTACTGACTGGTTACATTGATGCCTTCCCTTAAAAGTTATAAAACAGTAAACTTTATAAGCCCCAGTTCCGGCTATATGACATTTGGGTGCCAAATGAATAGGGTTTTGTCTATGAATTAGATCGTAAAATCATCCATAGCACAGACAGATAGGCTCACTGGCTATAAAAAGTCACGTGGTGCCATTAAAGTAAGTTTTATGGTTTTGGGGAGTTGACATCCAACATTATATACCACATAACATATAATCTCACTGACGCTGGACTTCATTTGACTCTTTTGCAGGCTACGTGTGCCTCCTGGCCATTCAAATTGTCAGGTTTAGGGACAGAAGTATCCAAACCACAAGTTCTCAATACTGTATGAAAAATGGCTCCTTGCAAGTCAAAGGTAAGTTTTGTGCACAAGTTCCTTAAAGTTTATTTGTACAGTGGGGAAGCCGAGGCTCCCGCTCGCTCTCGCTGCCTCTCGCCTCTCTCTTTCTTTCTCTTTCTCTTTCCCTTTCCCTTCCTCTCCGCCTGGGAGCTTTTCAGGACGGTCCCACCGAGCCCGAGAGGCAGGATCAACCACTAATGATCCAGGTTGCGCTGCAAATCCCCCCCATCCCTTCACTCGCAGCAGCTAGCTCTCTATTTTAACGATCAAATCAAAGTAAACCACAATAAGCGACTTTGGCAGAGATGGATTTTGGGGCCTAGCTTTAATCACTTTGACTACCGCAGAAGATAATTACTTCCTTTGCTCCAATAGACTCTCCAAGTTTGGAGAGGTTTTGTTTAGCAAAGAGTAGTTACTGCAGGCGATTAAAAAAAAGGGGGAAACAAAATAGATAGGGCTTGATATTATCTGGGCAGTGTCTTAAGGAGGCATGATAGAGTTGGAGGCGTGCTGATGTAGTAATAATCTGTGGATTGGTGAAATATGTTGCACATCAGAGCTGGTATTACAATGGCACGGACTGTACTGGAGAGCCTAAGATTATTATTTTCCGCATTGAGTTGTGCAGAAAGCTTTAGCTATGTGTATATGTCCTTCTGCGAGCGCCTAGTGTGTTTTGGGGATTCGCATTTATAACGTTGCTGTAACTTTTACCAGATCCTATATGTAACTGCATAAATAGAAATATATTAAAATTATGTGCATGTGGGCATGCATGTACAAATCACTCTATACGCCTGTATAAAGCCGTGCACATGCATATGTGTGCCTAATGTCGGTGTATTTATGTATACAAAGGGTGTGTATGTGTGTATACATATATGCGGTCCTGTGACTTTTTTTTTTTTTTTTTTTTTCTTCCCCCTCTGCTTCCTCCCTTGCCAAAGTATTGCAAGACTTAATATCACGAGACTGTGTTCATTGATTCCCTTGCTACTTGGAGAGGGAGATGAAGTTGTCCTCCTGCAGCCTAGCTGGTGGCCGACTGGTTCTCCACCGTGACAATGGTGACAATTTACTGCTCTTGTGGTCTAATGACAGGCAGGGCCCTGAACTTGCTGGAGGACACGTGGTTGCCTTGGTCTCCTGTGGTGGTTGGATTCCTCCTCCGGGGGTTGTCAGTCTGTGCTCATTTGGTTTCC